AAAAAATTTCAGTTTATCGGTGCCTTTAACGATGAAGGAAACCCTCTGTTTGTGACCGGACTGATGGAGAAAAGTCTGCGAGCTCTGTTAGAACAGCGACAACTCGTTGAAAAAGAAAGACGCGTGATTTCTCTGGATGTAGCCCGAGCAATTAACTACCTTCATCAGAAGAAACCAAACCCAATCATTCACCGGGATGTGAGCAGTGCTAATGTGTTGCTATGGCAACTGGGTGACCAATGGAGAGGCAAAGTGTCAGATTATGGCACTGCTAATTTCATGCAGCAGACCATGACAGTAGCTCCTGGAGCTATGATTTACAGCGCTCCTGAAGCACTTACATCAAACCAAACGGTCAAGGTAAGTTTTAGTAAATTTAGAATTTTTTTATTCCGGCACTTTTTCATCAACATCTTCAGACTTCGAAGAGACGCGTTGGTGCAGTCATCTTGAGCACGTAGCTACTTTAAAGCCAGGTTGTTCTTTTACGACACGAGAGAAACGCTACTTTACTTTACCCTTCTTCACCTGGGCATACAATTAAAAGCAGCAAAATAATGTTGATCGGATAGCCCTGTGCAGTTTGGAATGGCAATATCTCTTGCTGCTTATGCCCTGGTCAAACGTTGGTAACGATGATAGCTTAAACTATCACCATTTGAACTCAAATGTACATGGCTTCCTTATTATGGTCGTTTGCAGGTGTTTATGCCACGAAAAAAAAATTACGCTGTAGGCGTCTGTTGTGATTTAAATGTTCCTTATTAGTTCTTCAGTTAATCATTTTGGCGACTTCGCAGATAAAACTGATAGGGTAGGTTTTTCAAACGAAGTCCAACTTATGCCGCTGTTTAACCAATCTTTGGACCTTCAGATCTCTTCCTTAATGGGGTTCTTTTAAGAAGATAAATGCTTTTCTTGTCCACCTTATATGCTCTAACGAAACTGTTCACGTTAAATGGTGTCTACATAAAAGCGTTCGGCAAACTAAAAATGGATTAAAACGCGATTCTGTTTAACACTGGCTAAACTGCGTTTAAATAACTAGTCCATAGAGTCGAACCTTTCTTCAACGACTGACTTTTGAGAGAGTGACGTCCCTGCTTAAAAAGGTGACCATTGTAATAATTATATTCTTATTGGGGCCATCCGAAATCCGCACTGTCAGTAATGCTAATAGGATATGGGAGGCTCAGCGCGAGGCAGTAGGAGCGGGTTGCTCCTTTTTCGATAACTACAATCACTGAAAAAAATTCTTGCTCATGTCTTTAAGGTGGGCTTTTATGAACAATTTCTTGCTGTAAATCATACAACTTTAAATTCCAGCTGCTTCTGGGTATTACAGCCGACAATGGTAATGCAACATTTTGGGGCGGGTGGTAAACAAGTTTAATTGCGGTGAAAAGAGTGATTCGGGAAGAGAAACTAACCTTAAATAAGAATAGAGGAAATCAATCCTTATAGAATAGGTACAGGCTATAGGCGGCGTGCTGGAGTAACAACATCTTTTTAAAAGACTCTTCTTATTAAAGCTTATCAAGGGTGGCTTGGGAGCCCTCGGTCAAACAGTTTGTTCAGGTCGACAGGCTCGAAACTCTCAAATTTGCTCAACAAATCCTTCCCCTTTTGTTCAAACATCAACTTAATATATGGTCCTCGATATCTACCTTGTTTTGTTTTGGATTTTCTGCTGTGACAGAGCTTAAGTTTGCTTTGTACGTCGGCGCACCTTTTCCACTTGCAAACCGCAAGCTGCCCGCCTGAGTTTCTCCAGCCAGCAGATTGTATGGCACCTGATTCAAGGTTCTGATATATTTCCATTCATTTGTTTATTTGCCAATCAGTTTTTCATTCTCTAAGAAATTTGCAAATCCTTTCCTCCTTTTTGAAGTATGTTTCCTCGTTTTTGCACTGTTTTTACCAAAAACTGCACTGTTCACAGGCAATCAGATTAAAGAATTTTTTCAGCATTTAGTCATGAGTACCAAAATGTAATGGATCTAGTGTCCAGTTTGTTCAAAAGTGGAAACAAAAGGGCTTTTGCATTCAATTTTGTATTCAAAACAGAATTAAGTGATGCGATATACAGCAAATATTGTGTGCATAATGTACTTCACTCAGTTCAATTACTATTATTGATCACATTTTGAATAGCGGTTGTGGCATGGAGTGGGATGTTCAATCCATTTTCAGCTTTTTTATCAGCTGGCACGCATGCGGGAGGCAAGCTTCGACCCCAAGACAATGTCATGTTTTGGATTACATAAGCAGCAAAATATTTTGGGCATGTATCCAGAGAAGTGAACAGTTATAGGCTTATAATTGGAGACGTTAAATTTGCAATTGCTTGACAGACTGAGCAGGGGCCTACAATCTTCGCTTTTGATGAATTTGGTCTAGACTATTTTTAATAGCTTGCCAACCCGGAGGGGGTACTTCCCTGTATAAGCTTAGCTATATAGGTATGTGCCGCCCCATTACGCAGAGTTTTTGCGCCCTTTTGGTCTGAAAACGGGTATACACTTTGCCCATTTCGGTCTGGAATCAGGTATGGTTTGAGGCCTTAATTCTTTTCTCTATGACCACTTTACTTTCACAACATTCTGATGTTTTCAGATTGTTATTAAGAAATTTCTTAAACTGATAATTTGTGATAAGCCAGTAAATCAAAATATATTGCTTTAATTATGTTCTCACGTAAGCTAAGCATTTTATAAACTATGACAGTTTATCTTTCATGATGTGCCCATTTAGATCAACATCATGGACGCCGCAAAGGAAGTTACATTTACGGGAAAAGAGAAAAGAAAGAGGAGGAGGAAGGCCCGAAGGAAAGAAATGAAGAAATTAAAGAAGGCTCAAATGATGGAGGAGGTATGGTATGGTTTTGAGGCCTTAATTCTTTTCTCTATGACCACTTTACTTTCACAGCATTCTGATTTTTCCAGTTTGTTATTAAGAAATTTCTTAAACTGATAATTTGTGATAAGCCAGTAAATCAAAATATATTGCTTTAATTATTTTCTCACGTAAGCTAAGCATTTTATAAGCATTTTTATTTGTAAATCTTTTTTTCTTTCTTACTTTTCCTTTTCTCGAAGATATTAGCTTCTTAGCTACCCTGTAAATTCGCCGGATAAATTAAAGTCATGTATGTATGTATGTATGCACACTAAAAAACAATGAAGGAGTTCGAGCAATTTACTTGCGTACACGCACTTTGGCTCAAACGTACACAAATCAAATATTTGAGTCCAAAGATAGCACAACAAGTATGAATTTTAATTGAATTGAAGGACAAATCTTTTGTTTTTGAATGCATTATGGTCTGCTTATCAAGTCCAATCAGACTGCATTTATACAGACTTACGATTAAGGAGAAATGAACTTTTGGGACCCTGAATGTTTGTTTGTTGAATATTTGAGGAAACTGACTGTTTTTTTAAAACGCTTCAATAGACAGTTTCAATATTGTCACGCTCCGCTGTGATTGACCCAACATTATTAGAAACGTCAAAATTATCTGTGCGACACATTTTTGTAATAATAATGATCCACAGTAGGATCAAGTTTGCAAGTATTGCGGACCTACTTTATTTTCCCATAATTTTTGTGAGAGTGTTTTTTTTTTTGCTTCCATTTGCACAGACGACAAATTTTACAAACGGATCAGGTGTATTTTTGTGATTTCTGATGTTACAGTGCGACTACTACTAACTTTAGTTTTTGCTTACCTGAAATAATGTTCTCGCAGTTTCACTTCTCCTTCCAGCTTTTGGCCAATCAGAAACGAGCTGTTGTCACTTTGGAGTATTCCCCCAAATTTCCACCATGTTAACCTGCGAAAAACATGAGGGCTCAGATCAGTCAAATGTGTACACACATGGTTGAATTTATCATCGCTGGCATCTTTCTTCTGAAGTCTTCTTTATACTGATTGAACATGAAAACTAGAAAACTAAATATTTAAGTCCTGCCTTTAAGGGATCTGTTGACATAAGACCACATTTTGTATTGCAGGTTATTGGGTCCATAGAAATAAGAGGTTTGGATGGGTGCAGGTCAATCGGATCTGTAGTCAGATGCCTTATTCATTAGGCCATAGGCCAGTTCGACATCTCAACGGTCGTTACACCTTCGGGTCACCCCTATACAAACCGCAAAGGGATTCGCCGCTGCGCCCTAAAGAATAGGGGTTTACGCCGTCTTAGTCAGGAAGCGGGTATAGATTTTGCCCATTTTGGTCTGGAATCAGACATGTTTTACGAAGGAAATATGGTCAGACGGTTATATCAATGTGTTCGTCATTTCAGTCCCAAATGAGAACGAAAGTGTCAATGAAGTGTAATTTGGGAATTCGAAATAGATTTTAAGAAATCTTTTTGTTGCGCCTAATCTCAGCAATAATGACATAGTTTCTGTTTTATGTAACATGTGATGTTGCGTTTTGTGACCACCTCCAGCTGGGTACGGGTACGGGTTTAAGAGGCCAGGTCTAAAAAACGGGTGTGGAAAATGAAATATTTTTAGTCTGAAATCGGGTCAGGATTTGGAGAACTGGGCGGCACACCCCCACTAAGAATTCCCAGGAGTAACCCCCTGGGTTTCATGAATAAGACTAAACGGAATAAATTACGATAGTCTACTTTATTGTCATAAATGGTTGACAAAGAGACGTGAGCAGAAAAAAAAACGAGTGTGAGGGATCCAAACGTCTGGAACACACTATTAGACGACAGCAAATAGTAGCACTTATAATGCAGNACCACCTCCAGCTGGGTACGGGTACGGGTTTAAGAGGCCAGGTCTAAAAAACGGGTGTGGAAAATGAAATATTTTTAGTCTGAAATCGGGTCAGGATTTGGAGAACTGGGCGGCACACCCCCACTAAGAATTCCCAGGAGTAACCCCCTGGGTTTCATGAATAAGACTAAACGGAATAAATTACGATAGTCTACTTTATTGTCATAAATGGTTGACAAAGAGACGTGAGCAGAAAAAAAAACGAGTGTGAGGGATCCAAACGTCTGGAACACACTATTAGACGACAGCAAATAGTAGCACTTATAATGCAGGGAAAGCCGTCGTAGGTTTGCACTGTTATATTTAAAGGGCAACTCTACTTAATAATACAATGGAAGCTCTCAGTGGTGGATCCAGCTTCCATAAACAAACAGTTAAGAGTGTCTTGTTTTGATTAAGAAAGATCGGCCAACCCCTTTTTGAAGAAGTCCAAAATAACAGCCAGTAAAACTTTTGACCTTCACAATTGTTCTAGTGTATTTGGACTTATCCGCCTAGACTATTTTTTTGCTAAAACTTCCTCTGAGTATCTTTAAAAA